CTTTCTCCGAAGTCACAGACAGCTTCCTAAAAAATGTGAGGTCCAATGGAGATAGGGATGACAGGTCTCCCTGGGTCACCCTTCTTGTCGGGTAGGGAATAATCTATCCACCTTCCCGTCAATGGCTCCATGTAGTAGTAAGCTATATTGTGAATATCGACAAGATTTGCAGTTTCTAGATCTTCCAGCTGCCCTAGAATCTTACCTTTGTCGGATGGAGGAACAACAGCTAGCAGCTGAGCTATTTGTGATTCTATCATTTTATTAAATCTATGTTGGTTCTTAATGACAGAATCAAAGCTATACATTCTATTATTTATGTTCTCTAGAATTTTATCATTGGTAGCTATCTTTCTAGATAATCCCTCCATAAATTTGGATTGGCTAGCAATTAATTCTCTCAAGGGTGGTTGATTGAAATTGTTAAAATTATTACCTTGATAGTTACCTTGGTAGTTCGGTCTCTATTGCTGGTTCCATCCTTGATTCTGTTGAGGACGATAGTTGTTGTTGTTGATGAAGTTCACAACCTCATGACTTTTAGGACAGTTGTTCCCTGAATGCCGGTGTTGCCACACATTTCACATGTCATGCGAGAGTCATGAATGTGCATGACTTCTTGCTTCTCCTTGGCTTGATCTTCAAGCTTCTTCATTAGCAGGTCCATCTTGATAGATAGCATGTCTACCTCCTTGAGTTGATGCATACCACCACCTCTCTTGTGGGTCTAAAGACGTTCTTCATTCCAACCTTGGTTGTAGGTCATATTCTCTACAAGAGCTGTTGCAGTTAGGATTGTGAGTGACAGGAAAGCACCTCTAGCAGCAACATCCATAGTCTCACGGGTACTGTTGGTCAACCCATGGTAGAAAGTCTGTATGAGTAGTCAATTCTCCATCCCATGATGAGGACATTCTGCAATGTAATCTTGAAAACATCCCCATTCCTCAGGGACAGATTCATCATGTTGTTGTTGAAAACTTGAAATTCTCTCACGAAGGGCATTGGTCTTGCCCGTAGGAAAGAACTTGGCTAGGAAAGCAGTGGAGTAGTTATCCCATGTAGTGTTTCTATCCTTGTTGGTGTAGAACCATTGCTTTGCCTTCCCCAAGAGTGAGAATGAGAAAAGGCGAAGAAGTATGGCATCTTGGGTCACTCCTTTGATGGTGAAAGTGCTATAGATCTCCAGGAAGTGTTAGAGATGTGCACTCACATCTTCATGTGCCTTCCCACAAAATTGGCTTACTTGCACCATGTTGATGAGAGCTGGCCTGAGCTCAAATCCATTGTCTCCAACATTGACTATTGGTCGAGTACGGATGTTGGTTGTAGTTGGAGCAGAGAATTCATGGAGAGTCTTGTTAGTCATAGCTTCAAATTCTGGTGTTAAGCTTTGCCATATCTGGTGGTCTTCCAACTCTATAGCTAAGACTTTCTTGAGTTTAGCTCTAGTTATCTTGATTAATGCTTCTGGATCTTCAATGTAATTTGTCGGAAGGTCCCAACCGGTCATACTTTACCCTACATAAGATACACAAGTAGACAAAACAAGGGTAAGCCTATTTGAGTAGAGGTCAATGGTTATCTCGATCACATCAATAAGTATAAGTTTATCAATACTTCCTTTGCCTAGCTACGTTCCCCAACAACGGCATCAGAAATGCTTGTTGACATTTCTTAACGTCGCTACCAAGAACAAGGTTATGAATTTAATCTCTAGCAACGACGCCAGAAATGCTAGTTGGTAATTACTTGTGACTTGAAAAAATAAATATATGAAAGAAAATGATATGCAAGCGCACAGATAATATACCATTGTAGCACTTCATTCGGAACTATTCCAAGTATCGTTATTTATATTTTTACCACAGGGAAGTTCTGGCACGGACGTGTATTAATAACTTATACTATTGATTGAGAAGTAACCATAACCAATATTCTACTCACAACAGGGGTAAGTCATAGGACAAATTATGCATATGATAAGTATTGATCAATGATAAATCACTCAGAGTACTCCTTTCTATGACATTAGCATGGTTAAGTAGAATATTAGAAGAATAATTCCTAAGTCATTCTTAATTACAAGTCAAAGCATATAATGATTAGTGCAATTACACCTAGTAGTCATGGCTAAGGTCATCTTTATATCTACACATAAGGGATATTACTAAGGAAGATTAAGAACAGAGCTTGTTCTTCCTTCGTAACCGGATCCTACTTGCACCTATATTCGGGGAGTGGACTACAAATGACTCAACGGGAGTGTCATATCCGCGATCTACCATATGACCCAGAATATAGGGTGTATCCATAGGTAAACAACGCATAAGCACCACACTTACATAATGTCGACCACTCACCCTGTGTACATTAGGGCGATCACTATACGAACATATGTATAAACATAATGATAAACTAGCTATACTAAGTATATAATCAAAGTAGACAATGAACATTATGACTAAGAACATTAATATTGTGAATACCAATGTTGTCATAACAATTGCAGCAAGCATATAAAAGTAATGGAGATACAAAAGAGAGGGGGTACAAAGAGTATACCAAACCACTCTCTTGACAAGATCAGGAATCCAAGCGAAGCCTGCTTGCCTCTCTCTAGACCTAACCTAACTAGCTATGCCCTAGAATGTGGAGGAGCTCTGAGGATGATTAGGGTTTCTGTCTTTTCAAATGACTCATTGCCTCACGGGGGTGGCAGGTGCTGGTATATATAGGCCAGAGCATCCATCGTGAGCCCTTGGATCAAACCAACTTAAAGGACGGCATAGATACAACCTAGGAGGCGGTGGAGAACCGATATTGCAACGAGGGATGACATGTGGGCCCTAGGGGGCCGAGCGGTCTATAGGTGGGGCCGGCCAGCTCCACCTGGCGGCGTCTCGCCCTCCGCTTTGGTGTGGAGCCCTCCCGAGTCTTCTAGAGTCTTCTGGTGTCCGTTTCGCTGCGGATAAACACGATTAAGTCTGACATCTAGGTCCACCTTGACGGTTTTTTGGATAAACCCTGCAGAAAATACAGATTCACCAAAACTCATAGAATTTGTTAGTTTAAACCCCTATCCTTTGTTGGTGATTATATTTATGCCCTTATACATGTTATATTAACAGTTTATAATGGTTGTTAACTACCGTCAACAACTACTATCTCCGACCCTATGAATTTTCGTAGTCTCGCCAGAGCTTTGCAGTACCTCACTTTCACACGGCTGGATATAGCCTATGCAGTTCAACAGGTGTGTCTCCACATGCATGACCCGCGCGAGCCTCGTCTTGTAGCATTGAAGCGCATACTACGCTATGTTCGTGGCAGTCTGGATTTGGGTCTTCATCTTCGCGCCTCCAGTCAGTCTGAGCTTGTGGCCTACTCAGATGTAGATTGGACCGGTTGTCCTGACACCAGTAAGTCCACCTCAGGTTACGCTGTGTTCCTTGGTGACAACTTGATCTCCTAGTCTTCCAAGCCTCAGAACACTATCTCCCGTTTGAGTGCCGAAGCTGAGTATCATGCTGTTGCCAACGCTGTGGCCGAGGCCTCCTGGTTGCGCCAGCTGCTTGCTGAGCTGCACACACCCCTGTGCCAAGCCACTTTGGTTTACTATGACAATATCAGCACCGTCTACATGTCCTCCAACCCCGTTCAGCATCAGTGTACCAAACACATTGAGATTGATCTTCACTTCATCTGAGAACGAGTGGCCCTTGGAGCTGTTAGCATCCTTCACATCCCGCCGACGTCCCAGTTCACTGACATCTTCACCAAAGGCTTGTCCACCTCTGTCTTCACAGAGTTTCGGTCCAGTCTCAACGTCTGACGACTCGACGCTGTGACTGCGGGGGGTGTTAGATTGTACATGTATTAACTTGCCTGTGTGTATGTCATGGGCCTAGGCCTAGGCCTGGTTTAGCCGGCCGGCCCTAGCTGATTAGAGAGATATGAGATCTCGTTTGGTGCTGTTTTTATAAACCACGAGATCTTCTCTTCCCTATATATATATATATATATATATGTGTGTGTATATATGTATGTATGTACATAGGCATCTCAATCAATCTAATCCAATATTTCATGCAATCCTTATTGCTTTCAGAGACTTAGCAGAATAGTTATCAGATTTGAAATACAACAACTATTTTCAGATCACTAGCTCCTTTTATTTATTGTTTCGCCGCCCACCTCAACTATTTCGGTCTCTAGCATTATTAAACTAAAAGCATACTCCATTTCTTGTTGCAAGAATTACACATGATTTAGAACAAAATTAGACAACATATAATTACTTACACAGGCAGATCCAGCGTGGGTGTTGAGGGTGCTCAAAACCCCCTACCCAGCTGGATTCCATGGAGTGAAGAGAGAGGAAAATAGAAAGAGAAGAGGGGGAAAGATGGAGAGGAAGTAGAAGGGGCTAGAGGATGAATCGATGGGAGATGGAGCACCCCCTAGATATTAACTTTGCATACGTCCCTGATTACTTACGTAAAATAGGGGGTCACATGACATGCTGGCGTAAATAGCTAAACAAATGTCAATGAATAATGTGTCTCACTAACGTGAATATCATAATTATATGTGCTAGCGAGTTGTAATTATACGTGACAGTGAATCTTTGATACGGACAGCTCGCTGCCGGCAGATATATCCAAACAGAACACTGCTTACAAAGATCTCTTCCTTGCTGCCGGCGGTCTTCAGAACCAGAAAGCTAAAGCGGCCGATCTGGCAACTCCAAACTCCAAACCGCGTCGTCGCTAATAAAGCTTGCTCTGTAGTATCAAAAAAAAAAAAAAACTGCTCTCTGCTCGCCTTTGTCTTTTTCCGCCACTGCCTTTCGGTTGCTTGCTCCCAAAGGATGGCATTTACCGGACCCTTATTGACTCCCCATCGTCACTCGATCGCTCTCAGTATACTACTCGTACCTAGCAAGCAAAGCATAGTCACACAGCGAAGTTGTGCGGCGAGCGAGACAGAGAAGAGAGATGGTGACGACGGATTGGGGGCCGATCATCGTGGCGGTGGTGCTGTTCATCCTGCTGTCGCCGGGGTTCCTGTTCCAGCTGCCGGCGAGGGTCAGGGTGGTGGAGTTCGGCAACATGGGCACCAGCGCCCTCGCCATCCTCGTCCACGCCATCCTCTACTTCTGCATACTCACCATCGTGGTGGTAGCCATCGGCGTCCATGTATACACGACCAAACCGGATCCGGTAGAGTAAATAATTAATTGAATTTGCGTACGTGTGTTTTTCAGTTCTGCTCTCTTGTTGTTTAATTTTTCAGTCAATATGTGTGTATCGCTGCTGTATAATGGCACCACATACAAATATATATATACATACATACATGCATATATATATATACGGGCTGTAGCTTCATGCTGTAGTAGATAACAATAATGAACAGAAAAAAAAATATAGAGATCTTGCGCATGCCTTTTGTTATGTTTCTTGATGCTTCCAAGTCATCTTCCCCCTCAAAATGAACACCATGGAGTAATTTATGTCATTACTAATTCGATTAGTATGTATATCGATCCGTTTTATATTAATATTTTATATTCACATAGATATACGGAACTGTTAGCGCTGGACGTCCGCACGGACGCCCGTGGCTGCAGCTTGTTTCCACACGTCCACGCAAGGGCCTGCCCCGCCTGGACATCGTCCACACACACCTGTGTTTCGCGCACCCACGCAGGACCCACGCGTCGCATACCCGTTCCGCTTCCCACGCGCATTCCATGTGCAACACCCCGATCTACTTTTGAAACATTCAGATGCAACACTTACAATATACAAAAGAAGACAGATGAAACACATGAAACATGCATCTGAAACACTTGCAAAAACACTTGAAAATACTTGAAAACCGTTGCAAACATACACAACATACAGATAAAACACTTGGAACATGTGTAACATCTAGATAAAACGCTTGCAACATACGTCTAAAATATATTAAACATTGGAAACAGACACTTGCAACATACCTCTGAAACACTTGCAACATATGCAATATATGCAACATCCCGATCTACTTTTGCAACATTTAGATGAAACATATGAAACACTTGAAACATACGTTTGCAACATGCGCTTTAAGCACAATGTTACCTTGCTGCTTAAACGAATGGACGCTCATCGTTGCGGAGCTCGACGCTGGCACAGAGGTTGGTGGCGGCACATGGATCTCGCCGGTGCAGCAGCTGCACGACCCTCATGCGATTCTCCAACGCTCGCTCGTGGCCCAGGCTCGCACTCGTCGGCGCGGCCCTGTTGCTGCTACACCAGCGCCGCTTCTCGCTCGATCGTCCGTAGTCGTCCAGGGCCGTCTGCTCGCAGGGGATGGGGCGCAGCGTAGCCAACGATAGGGTGCGGCACGATAGGGGGAAGGGCACGGTGCGACGCTGCGGCGGGGGGCGAGGCGCGGTGGGGGAATGGGGTGCGGTTGGGTGGACGGATGAGAGGCCCGAAAATGCTTAGCCACGCAGCGACGGGCGGATGAGCGGAGTAGGGATTTTTTTTCAGAGGCCGGTTACTGCGCAGGACTGGGAGCTGCGTCCGTGGCTGAGCGTTTCCGTATAGATATATAGCTAGTTTGAGATAAATATGGTCGAATCAATAATGCACATATCACGCACATTTTCAGTATCGAGACACATTTTGTAGTCTGTTCTTTCTCAGTACAAGTCGACCGGGTCAGTTATGCGAAGTTCACACAGTGGAACAGCTTGCATTGAAGTATTCCAGGCCTCTAGCTGATCGACTGTCTAATGTTGAGTGACGTCTCTTCCGACAATCGTTCTTCACGTCCGACCAGATGGCTGATGACTTGTATATATCACTATTATTTTGGACCAAGATTAAGTGATCCTGATGATGGGAGCACACACCATTTTTTTGGTAAGTTTTTGGTTGGATTGGACACTACATAGACACGGTATTACGTAGCTAGATAGAGCAGTGTCACTGCTACAACAAAGATTTTAGGAGACAAGGCTCCTTATTAAAAGAGACGAGCAAAAAGAGAGGATGTGTGCAAAAATGTCCAACGACGACTTTCAGAGACAGTTGTGTCATTTACAGAGACACTCTGTCTTCAAAATTAATTTGGGAGCAAGAGGGTCCACTTTTGAAAGACAGGCTTCTTATAAAGTCCATCTCTGTTCGTTGGAGCTTGGCTCATTAAGCCGAGCACCGCAAACCCTAACTCTGCTCCTTTCTATCCTTATCCTCACACAAGAAGGATCGGAGAAACCATGAAATTTATACAGTTCCATATATGTATATGATCCATTGAACGATTATTATATACATGCAGAAGTACTCACTTCTTTTATATTATTTATATACTACACGTCACACGATGGTGCATGCATTTGGGTTCTCCTCACTGAAAGCATCCGGTGGATAGTTTGCTGGATAGCCATACCCGTACATGGCAGCAGGGCTGCAAGCATACGCCGGGTACGCCTGCGGATACTGGTACTGCTGGTAGGGGAAATAGTATTGTGCGGAAGGATACGCCGGGTAGTAGTAGCTCCGGTTGCTGAGGGCCATCTCAGGCGCCACCGTCACAACTCCGGCCGGCATCGGAACGGTGAACAGGCGGTCGTCCTTGGTATGATTCTCCAGCACGAACTCATCTCCATGATGGCCGCCATTGTTATGGTTTGGAGCTTCGCCGGCATGGGTTCCATGCTCCTCGTCGGTGGCGCCATGGCCGCCGTCGCTCGGCTTCTTCGTTTCTGGGTTCTCATCCACATGGTCCTCCTCTTGTCCTCCTCCCGTGTTCTCCTCATTTGGCTCTTCCTTCTTCTTCCCATTCTGTCCGCCATTCTTCTTCTCCCCCGGCGGATTCTCAGCTTCAACCGGTGGCGCTGGCGTGACGACCGTTGGTGGCGCCGGCGACTTCGCTGATTGCAGGAGATCATCCAGTGGCTCCGCTCTGATGATGGCGGCTTTCCCCCCGTGCACTTGTGGATGAAGCCGACCAGTGTCGCCGGCTCCACCTTCCCTTTCACCATCACCTGTGAAGATTTGAGGTGCGGCACGGCTTCCTCCACACCTGACGATCAGCAAATGAAATGAGTAGCTGTTCTCCTGTTCGCCATCACAGTTGTTTGAAACACTTTGTACTATATCGATCAGTACCTGTAATCTTCAGTATCCTCCGCCTGATCTCCTCGCTGCAGGCGTCGCAGTGCAAGTTCATCTTCAGAACGGTAACCATTTCCTGGGTAATCAGTCACAAGTCACAACACACAAATATACAGTGAGGTAAAAAAGGCAGAGGTACGGTGAAACAAACAAGCTGATGAATTTGGAGAAAGGTTTAACAAACAAATTAATTAATTAACTGAAGTAGCAATGTGTGTATCTGTAGTTCACGAGAGATGTAAGTACCATATCCACTTCCGGTAATTCATTTGACACGTCCTTTGTGTTTCCATCGTCTTTCTTGTTGGTCTCTCCACCCTTGTTGGGCACTGACCGCGGCGGCAGCTTGTCTGGCGACGGGCTCACCAACACCGCCTTCTCCCCGGTCCTCCTTTCCACGACCTGCAGGACCTCCGTCGCGTTCTCCACCGCTCTGCGGCCCCTCACAACCACCGTGTTGGTCCGGCTGTCCACAGTCACCTCTCCAACACCTTCCATGTTCAGTAATAATGAATCAGAACGAAACACATATATATATACACACACACACAAAGCCGGCCGGTTGTTTGCTTACCCTCGATGCGCTGCAGTGAGCGGCGCAACTTCCTGCCGCAGCCGTCGCAGTGCACCGGCGCCCTTATCACCAGCTGCTTCTCCCCGGCCGCCGCCGCCGGTACGTCGCCGCCGCCCTTCCCGGACGGCTTGATGTCCTGCACCTTCTCTTGACCTGTTCCAGTCGCAGCGCCGCCATCAGCCGTCCCCTGTGCCGTCGCACAGAGAAAACAGCGGGGTGCTAAGGAAACAACATCACTTCGCATCAAACCAAGAAGTACGTGAAGAGTCTCTCCTCATCGTACCTTTGCCATGGGTGGGTGACGTTGTACGTACGTGCTTTGCTGGTCCTTCTGGACTCTGGACTGGCACTAGACGCCTGGAGCTGGAGATATATACAGATATGCGGCCGTGCGTAGTTCGAGGTGAGCTTGTAGGAGTCGCTGTGGAGAGCGGTGGGCGTGCCACGGTGGGGCGCCGCATGCTTGCCTGCGGCGAGCATGGGCTGCGCGCGCGCCGCGATCGGTTGCCTGGGCGGGCATGCTCGGCTGGAACCCAACCCAGCGAACGTCGCACTTTGGCGCCACCTGTGCCGTGTCCGCGCGCCACCTTGCCACAGAAGCAGCGCTGCCGAAAGACATTACGAGAGGTTTATTTGCTCGTCGGTGCATATCCTCAACAACAATGGATCTTGTCGCCTAGCACGGCATTTATGTTGACCCAGAAGATTGTAGGTGAGAGGATGGAGGTGATCAGGTGATTCTCGTGAGAATTGAAGAGCTAGGTTTGGTGTGGTAAGTTTCAGAGGGACGACGAGTCCTGTTGGTTTATTTACCAATGATATGGAAAGTTATACTGTTCCTCCAAAACTTTGTGTTTTCTTATGGCTATAGGCAATACTCGTAAAGGCGGCTATAGATATGGCATGCGGCCAGCTGTCTCTAGGTCTTGTTTAGATTGCCTCAAAATTTCAAGTTTTTTCATTCTCTTTCCATCACATCAATTTTTGGACGTATGTATGGAGTATTAAATGTAGGTAAAAAAAATAACTAATTACATGGTTTTGTTGTAAATCACGAAACGAATCTTTTGAGCCTAGTTAATCCATGATCGAACAAAGTTTGTCAAATACAAACGAAACGTGCTACAGTGTCCGGATTGCAAAAATTTGCAATCTAAATAAGGCCCTAAACTTACATTGTTATGAACCGAGACAATCACTATTATAGCTAATATTTATAGAGGCAGCTATATATAGATGTGGCACATGGGCCAGCCGTCTCTAAGCTTATTCGTTTCTAGAAAAAAAGAGATTCCAGCCGCCTCTAATTTATAGAAGGGCTGGAGGCAGCTATAAATCGTAGCTGCCTCTACAAATCGTTTTCCAAAAATCATCCAAAGGTCATAAATCAAACAAAAAATAGCAAAAAAAACTTTTTGATTATGGGAGAACCCACCCTGCAATCATACGCGTGCGTGGTCGCAAATCACAAGTCACGTGACATTAGTCCATCCTAACTGCTGAAAGTGAAGAGAAGGGGGTTAGTTAATCCTGGCCATGGCCCTACAAAATCACCAACCTGAATGTACTGTAAGGCCCCGTTTAGTTTCCCCCAAAAGCCAAATTTTTTTGCGCAGTAAGTGTCACATCGAATCTTGCGGCACATGCATGGAGTACTAAATGTAGACGAAAAAAAAATTGCACAATTAGGTGAGAAATCGCGAGACAAAACTTTCGAACATAATTAGTCCATAATTAGACACTAATTACCAAATACAAACAAAAGTGCTACAATACCCAAAACCCAAAAATTTTCGAATCTAAACGCGCCCTAATAATACATGCGTAGGACAGTGCTATCTTTGTCTGTAAGCTACCACAACTATCCATGGAACTAGATGCAAATATAGATAACCTCAAGCCTAAACACGTTGCCTATACTCATGACTGCTACTGTATTCCTAGACTAGAATCAGACCATTCTACTGTCCAAACGAGAAACACATAAATAAACTGAAGTAATAACTGATGATGAAATAAAAAGAGGATCCGCAGTTACAAAAGCCAAGATTGTGTATTCTCTGGAGTCCAGCCAAGCACGATTCCACATCAAACAGAGCATATGCATTTCTCAAACAGAGCCTGTGCATTTCTTGGAACTTACACTTGTATAGCATTTACATCCATATATTGTTTGTATGGTAGTTGCTTGTAGGTGTAGCTCACTAGTGTAGTTGCAGTTTCATGCTCTGTTCGGCTGTCCTGGTTCGGTTGGCTGGGCTGGCTTGGTTAGTCAATCAGCTGATTTGAATCAGCCTAGCACAAGCAAGCCAACCAGCTGCTGCTGTAATTTGATTTGAATAAACTGGATTCAAATCAAATTATGGCGCCAATGAACCATAGTTGGCGCCAACTCTCAGACATATTCAAATACATGTCCGTCAACAAGTAACAACATTAACACATACAAGTTAGTACCAACCAGTTCTAATACCATTTCATTACATCTCACTCAAATGTGCTTCCAAGGCCATTGAAATAACACTTTATTACAACAGCAGTGAACTATTCAAATGTGCCACCAAGTCAAACCTGCTGCATCTGGATGCATCTCATTCTCATATCAGTGTGTTCCTTACCTTGCTCCATAGTTTCTGACTGAATGAAGTCTTGTATGTAAAGATGTTGTAACAAGAGCAATCAAAGCATCCTTTATCTTGAACATCTGTACAAACCATAAGGTATTGTTTGGGAGCAAGGGGTAGAATTCTCATTTCTCAATGAGACTTCATTAATAAGACAAGATTGTACCAATTCAACATAGTTTTGCAATGAAAATCAGGCAATATGATAAAACATCAGGAAACAATACAGCAAAGATGGCACTAAGAGGAGCTGCAGGGTTGAGATGCAGTGCTTTTCTGCCAATAGGAGTCGAGGGTACTTGCACGCCAAGAGCCTTGGCTCCAGTGGTGAGTTCCATTCCTACATCTGGCTCCAATTTGTAGGAATTACAACAACTCATTCGAATTCCTAAGATCGAATTACAACAATTCATTACAGTAGTACATTCATGAGTTGTCCATAACACTACTACTTGGAGGATTACTAGAGCATTTACAAAACTTATAGGAGTTGCACAAAACATTTGCAACACCTACAGAAACATGCGCCTTCTAATATGCGCATGTACTCCATGTACAACATCAACCTACATTGGCATACAATCCTACAATTTTTCAATTGGTACCATTCTAGTACACTAACCTACTGACCTAAGTGGCATCTGTACAAAATTTGTACCCTTTTCTAGGCACATAAGATTAAGCATGTGAAAGGATCAAGATGCCCAAGAGGGGAGGGGTGAATTGGGCTAATTCTAAATTTCTTCGCAATAAACAAGTCCTATGGTTAGCCCAATTAACCCCTTGTGCCTAGAGAAGTGTTTCTATTGATCTAACGCATAAAAGTTTAGCAACCTAGTTCCAATCCTACTCTAGCATGGCAATTCTAGGAATGTAAATCACAAGAATTGAAATGCTCAAAGTAAAGAGAGGAGAGGAAACGCGGCGATGTTTTGCCGAGGTATTAGAGAGTCGCCACTCCCCACTAGTCCTCGTTGGAGCACCCACGCAAGGGTGTAGCTCCCTCTTGATCCGCGCAAGGGTCAAGTGCTCTCTACGGGTTGATTCTTCAACACTCCATCGCGGTGAATCACCCACAACCGCTCACAACTTGAGTTGGGTCATCCACAAGCTCTCCGGATGATCACCAATGTAACACCTCGGGTGTTAGCCTTGCATAACTTGACTTGCATAACATAAGCATGAGCATCAAGCATTCATAAATCATCATTTACAATTGAAACATTCGATCGAAACATATGAAACATTGCTTGTTATCTCGTATTTCTTGGAACATATGCATATGATCATGTGCAAACAAATGCTAGTGTGTAATGTTGGTCACTATAACACCTTAGCTACACTTAGGTTAACAAAAGGAACCTTGTTCATGAAGACCACATTTCTTGATCAAGCATTTAAGTGTTATTTCATGTGTTGACCTGAATGGCTATATGTGTGACTACTTCATAGAATGCTTGAATGACCTTGCAAATTGTTTTAACATGCTTAGAGTATCATCATGAACAACTTTGGTATTTAGGGCTAGGGCTAAATTGGTCATTTAGCCATAGTTTGAATGTGTATCTTGATTTCAAAGTGACATGTTTGACTAAAGTTGAACTAGGTGTTAGGGACCTTGCATGGAGGAGTTCACTAAAGCAAAGTTGTAGTATTTGACATAAGGAACAACTTCCATTTTTAGGTCATGGACTGATTTTGCTTCTAACATGCTTGAATGGGTCCCACAAAACCAGCAAAATCCAGTTTTCAACACTTAACAAATTTTCTAAGTGTATGCTCGATTGTGACTGACAAGCCCACCTTGAGCACGATTTTTTCCACGTTTACATTGCGAATCGAGCTTACTCTCTTAATAAAAGTTGAAGCTGGTACATAGGGCTAGGATTTTTGTTAAGATGGTTTACGCTTTGGAGCCTTGGATTAGCCGTTGTATCATCGTGAAAACTTCGGCGTCAGGCTCGGCTTCGGGTGTCTGAACGAGCTGAATCAAATGATCATGGCTGACCGCCGTCAGCCTACCAGCGCCAGCGTGGAAGGAGGAAACGGCAGCGCGTCGCAATATGACACGACCGCGCAGGCCACGCCGCGCGTCTGGTAGCGCCTTCAAGTCGCCGCGCTTCGCCCATAGCGCCCAGCCTTTGCATTTTCGTTTTTCCGGCTCTCCTTCGCCACTCACCTCGCGCAGCTTGTGGCTGCAACCCCGGTGCGAGAGCCGCCGCCATCGCCATTGGGCGCCCACTCGCGCCCAGCTCCTCCATCCCCACCGCAACCCTCCACCGTCTTCCCAGCAACCCCTGCGCCCTCCGTGCTCATTGTTAGCTTTTCGGTAAGCCCCCAGCCGCCGTCGTCGCTTCTTCGCCGGAACTCCGCCGCCAACCAACCTCGTGCCGTGGCCACGCCCGTTTTAGTCTACCACTCCACGCGTTAGTTGATGCGCTAGGTTTCGATAGCTTCGTAGATGCTTGTCCAGCGCGTTTGATTGAGCCGCCGAGGTCGTCACCGGCGTAACGCCGTAAATCGACCTCGCCGTTCCGCCATGGCCGCTGCGCTAGCTTTAGGGTCGACAATAAGGCCGGCCAAGTTGCTCAATAGGTTCGCCTTGGTCATGTAGGTCCTACACGATGACCTCACCGCCGGTGAACTCCCCCGTCGTCGAGTTCTCTCG